TTACGTGTTACATACCTTATCGGACCTTATTTGAACGAACATTAATCTTACTATATATAAAGCGAGACGATATATATGGTTCCGTGCCATTTTACTGACACCACGGCATCAACTTTAACGGGACTTTCCTCAAAAACCGTAAAAGATATACAACTGAAACTTTTTCGACTGGGTCAAATGCTTTAATGGCCTTCAAATCAGTATGAAAAACTAAAAAATTGGCCAAGGAATAAGAATTTTAGTGCCCAAAATTTGGACCCCCAAGTGGTGTCAAAAACGCGAATTAAATAGGTAATGATTATTTTAGTCTCTTGAGTCTTGACATTACTTTATAGTAAGACGGGTTCCTGCTAGTTGGACTAAATTATACCATCATTCTTACTGGTTTAGACTGCTTTTCTTGTATAAGAACTTAAGGTCCCAAATTTGGAGTATTCTGAAAATCATGTGAAGAAAATGCAGACCAATTAACTATATAAAAGTTAATTAGTTAGTTAGAATAAAATATGTTTTATTATCGAATCACAGTTAACTAACCATGTTTATGAAGAAGTTCTAACGATCGTATGATAAAGCAAAGTGCACATGACAGCGCCGCCATCAACATCTGAAAAATTTACTTTAAATCTAAATTAATGACTAGATGGGAAAAACTCAGCTAATTAGTTTTAAAAGCAAGGGCAGAGCTATCATTTGACATGCCGTATGGTCAATGTCATTTCCATTAGTACTCAGCTGAAAGATATAACAAAAAGATTAGCTGTGTCTTCAAAAGAATTTTATACGAGCCAAAAATCCCACTCACCATAATAGGTGCCAAGTCCGCGGTAGTGAAACCGATAGAGATATTAGCGAAATACGATACAGCCCCATCCCCGGCCATCAGCCAGCCCAATTTTCTCAACTTATCATGGAGAAAAAACCCCTGTCCACATATTCTGATACTGATCGACATTATGATTCGTCTTGAAAAACAGAAATGACGATCAATAGGCACAAAAGATTCAAGTACAAGGTCAAGAGTAAGTGAAAAGTGGCATGCAACGTATGTCAAGTGAACGAGGTGTTTTTGTTTATTAGTCTATGTAATAAGCGCCATGAGTTGGCAAAGAATTTTTTGTCTCTGATTTTGATAAATTTGGTACCAAAAGTTGCCTTTAACTGTGAATAATGAAAATTCACCGTGTAGCACGATTCGTTGAGATGTATGTGGGCCTCCTGTGTATTGCAAAAGTGTACTATGGACTAAAAATGGTTAATTTATTGCTTAAAATGCCTATAACTCCTAAAATATTGAATATTTTGAAATAGTTCTTACAGAATCGTAATGAGCTTAATCAGACGCAACTTTTGGTACCAAAATTATAATATTTAAAGCACAAAATTTTTCGAAAATTTGTTCAAAATTTTACACAAGGGGGGACCATTGTGTTCAAATTAAAAACGTTTGAAAAAAAAAATCCTTTAAATCTTAAAATATTAGTACTAAAAGTTTCGTCTCGATGAGCTGATTATGATATCATAATAACTATGTGATAATGATTTGAAATGTGAAAGTTATAGGCCAAAAACTAAAAATTTGCGCGAAAAAAGCACGCGCGGCGAACAAGCGCCGTGTAGCATTTTTTCCGAAAATTGCTACACGGTGGATTTATTTTATCCACATTTTTAGACAACTTTTGGTACCAAATTTATCGAAATCGGAGAAAAAAAGTTCTGTGCTCGCGCTTGGCGCTTATTACACTGACTAGTCTATGTAATAAGCGCCATGAGTTGGCAAAGAATTTTTTGTCTCTGATTTTGATAAATTTGGTACCAAAAGTTGCCTTTAACTGTGAATAATGAAAATTCACCGTGTAGCACGATTCGTTGAGATGTATGTGGGCCTCCTGTGTATTGCAAAAGTGTACTATGGACTAAAAATGGTTAATTTATTGCTTAAAATGCCTATAACTCCTAAAATATTGAATATTTTGAAATAGTTCTTACAGAATCGTAATGAGCTTAATCAGACGCAACTTTTGGTACCAAAATTATAATATTTAAAGCACAAAATTTTTCGAAAATTTGTTCAAAATTTTACACAAGGGGGGACCATTGTGTTCAAATTAAAAACGTTTGAAAAAAAAAATCCTTTAAATCTTAAAATATTAGTACTAAAAGTTTCGTCTCGATGAGCTGATTATGATATCATAATAACTATGTGATAATGATTTGAAATGTGAAAGTTATAGGCCAAAAACTAAAAATTTGCGCGAAAAAAGCACGCGCGGCGAACAAGCGCCGTGTAGCATTTTTTCCGAAAATTGCTACACGGTGGATTTGTTTTATCCACATTTTTAGACAACTTTTGGTACCAAATTTATCGAAATCGGAGAAAAAAAGTTCTGTGCTCGCGCTTGGCGCTTATTACACTGACTATATGGCAGCTTGCATCGGCGCACGTACAGCATCGGCACAAATGTCGCTTAGTTGCTTCCTTTGCAAAGTTATTTTGTAGAGTTTTTACACAATATTCTGGATTGAGTTGTTGTTGGTGCGCGGCGCGAAACTGTAAACTGGTCAAGAAAATCGTTAATTTCCATCATGCGCGGATGACGGATCGCATTATGTATGGCAGACATGCAAATATTTTGCACTTTATTTCGAGTTAGTATTACTATTACTGATTATGCAAAGATCTGTGTCAGCTTCAAACTTGTGTTACTGTTAGCAATGAGCATAAGATTGCATAGAAATAAAATCGATTTTCACAAAATATGATAATCAAATCCCATATTAATTATGACCTCCCCACCAGTATCCACATCTAATAATTTGGAATTTACTGGGCGGCGCTCAGCTCTGTCACTCCGCTATATCTTCATGTTTATGATATGGATTATGTTAGGAATCGTCATCACGGCAGCCGAGCGTCTCTGTGTTTTTCGAGACAACCTGGATTTATTAGATGAGCTGCCCACATATAGAAACTTTTAAATTTCCTCGCAGATAGTAATTATTTTATGCTTTAAAAAATAAAAATTAACAAGTCATCTAAAAATTTTCTCTTTGACACAAAATTTCCTTACAAATTATCTGCCGATCCGCCGTCTTTCTTGATGTGGATAGATGAGCCATATCAGGTGCCCAGATGGCAGGATCTTTATGATGATCATTTTTAGAACTTAATGGTCCAGACATGATGGTAGATTCAAATTCAGATTATTATATTTTCAATTTTCCAAACGAAAAATATAATAATAATAATAACAGTAAAATGTTCCAGGGTTCTCCCTTTTTTATCAATTTCGTTATACCACGAGTTCCCAACCCTGCTTCCAGCCCCCTCCGGTTTCAAACCCAACACACAGAACAAATTGTCTCCGTTAACACTGCCCTTCTTATGCTGAAACAATGAGTTTGGACCCAGAAAGTCGCAGTGTTTTTGAGCGAACTGGTCTAGTTGAAGTTCCACGGCCCATCGCAGAAGTTGGACGCCGTGTCTTTGATGGTGATTATTGTGTAATTGAATTCTGCTTTAATTGTGCCTGCCCTAACCAGTCCGAGCATTTTCCCGGCCTCAACATTCTTTCTCGCCATTTGATTTTGTTTAAGTTTCCATGTTGTATATTTCTGTATTATTTTGTGAAAGTTTCAAATCAATTCAGCATTGGGTTATCGAAAAATTGTAAAATATATTATTATTATATGTATGTATATGCATTATGCAATACATGCATAATAATACACTGTTATCTATCAAATTATAAACTCGCGCTAAAATAGCAAAACTTACATTTCATATTTACATTCAAATAAAAACTAAACCAAATCTACATATTGTACAAGAAACATAAATCTTAAACTGCAAGATTTATTTACATCCAAATAAAAACTAAACCAAATCTACAATACTGTACAAGAAACATCTTACTATATATAAAGCGAGACGATATATATACAGGGTGGGCCATAAGTCAGTACCCATACGTTGGCCTTTATAGCTCAGTCACTGAGTGCCCAATTTAAATACTTCTTTCTGGTATGACTTAGTACCACCACTGGTTCGAGGAATTTGTCAACTCGAAAAATATTCGCGTTCATTTTTTTCAAATGGAGGTTCATTTTCACATTTATTTGATAATTTGGATAGTCGGATCAAGCTAAATGTTATTGAATTGTGTTTGGCCATTCGAATTACGTTTGTCCTGAAAGAATTAGAACTGTACCTTCTCAGATGACCGAGATATGAAGCATAACGAGTTTATTCATTACGTGTGATCAGGTGATTGGTTTACCTAATCACGTGATAAGGTGCCCCCGTTAACTACCCCGTTAAACATTATGGGAATTGTTAAGGGTACCCAATTAAGGTGTCGTTTCACGGTGTCACATAATCACCCAGTCAATATTGTTAACGAGATACAGAAAATGCTTGATAACTTCGTCATTTCTAATCCGTTTTGCCTCATGTTTTTAGATCATATGCAACATTTGATAATATACCGTCTCTGAAAAAATTAGGCGTTCAGCATGTTCAGAGAAAACAATATAGGTGTTTTAATATTGAATGGGCGTGGTCTAAAATATTCGAATTTTTAAATTTTGACGACGGAATCCTCGAACCAGTAAGTACAGTATGCCATCTGCAAAGCAACAGCTCTCAAATATAAAACACGGCGGAGCTATTAAGGCCAACGTATGGGTACTGACTTTTGGCCCACCCTGTATATCTGTGCCATTTTACTGACACCACGGCATCAACTTTAACGCGACTTTCCGCCAAAACCGTAAAAGATATACAACTGAAACTTTTTTGACTGGGTCAAATGCTTTTATGCTTTTCAAATCAGCATGAAAAAATAAAAAATTGGCCAAGGAATAGGAGTTTAAGAGCCCAAAATTTGGACCCCCAAGTGGTGTCAAAAACGCGAATTAAATAGGTAATAATTATTTTAGTCTCTTGAGTCTTGACACCATTTTAGGGTTATACGGGTTCCTGCTAGGATTTACTGACCAGAGGTGCACAATCTGATTAAAAGTAATAACTTAACAATGTCCCGTGTGTAACCATGGTAACATGACCAAATAAGGTCCCTACTCGACCTGCCCGCTCTTCTTCATCTGCACAATAGCGATGAGACTATTGATACCTGTAGCTGCCACCCCGATGATAGCACATATGAATTGTCCTCCGAAGGCTGAGTTCAGCCACCCCATGTCCCCCCCAGATAAAGTGATGACAAGTTCCACGAGCTGGATGTACCGGGCTAGACCACATACTCCGAACAAAACTGTGGGGGAGTTTATAATGGGTTTGGTAGTTTATAAGGGGTTGTGAATTCCACTTAGGGAGTTAAAATATTCGCCATTTTCCATTTGTAATTACAAAATAGCATAAATAAACTCACATCCTCCTCCTCCGGTGAGCATGATAACAATGGCGACCAATTGTCTCTCTGAAAGTAAACGTATTTTTAGATTAGATTTCTAATTTCTGTTATATCATTATTTTGTTGGTGCAAATCAAAAGACATCCCAATAAGACAAATCAAGAAAGTGTTAAAAAAGGCAAATCTTTGAACAGGACATCCAGTTGGGATAATAATTGTTGAATTAATATATTTTCTTCACTCACTGTCACTGAAGAGGCTTATGTTTATTGTCCCTGAAATTGTACTCGTCAGTATTTAACAGTGATACATGTTCTTACGATTATGTGTTAACTTGCTTATCAACTAATGTTTTGCCAAAAAACATTATAATAAGATAAACAAGTCGGAATATTCTGAAAATCGTGTAAAGAAAATGCGGACCGATTAACCAGTAAAAGTTATGTTTAGTATCGAATCACAGTGTACTAACCATGGTTCATTATCTAATCACAGTGTACTAACCATGGTTTAGTATCTAATCACAGTGTACTAACCATGGTTTAGTATCTAATCACAGTGTACTAACCATGGTTTAGTATCGAATCACAGTGTACTAACCATGGTTTAGTATCGAATCACAGTGTACTAACCATGGTTTAGTATCTAATCACAATGTACTAACCATGGTTTAGTATCTAATCACAGTGTACTAACCATGGTTTAGTATCTAATCACAGTGTCTGTGTACTAACCATGGTTTAGTATCTAATCACAGTGTACTAACCATGGTTTAGTATCTAATCACAGTGTACTAACCATGGTTTAGTATCTAATCACAGTGTACTAACCATGGTTTAGTATCTAATCACAGTGTACTAACCATGGTTTAGTATCTAATCACAGTGTACTAACCATGGTTTAGTATCGAATCACAGTGTACTAACCATGGTTTAGTATCGAATCACAGTGTACTAACCATGGTTTAGTATCTAATCACAGTGTACTAACCATGGTTTAGTATCTAATCACAGTGTACTAACCATGGTTTAGTATCTAATCACAGTGTACTAACCATGGTTTAGTATCTAATCACAGTGTACTAACCATAGTTGTTCAGAAGTTCTACCGATCGTATGATCCAGCAAAGGCCTCCTGATAGCATCGCTATCAAAATCTGAAAAATTTACTTTAAATGTAAATTAATTTTACTTTAAATCTAAATTAATTCCTCACTTGTAAAGACATATCTGATTAGTTTTAAAACTAGGACAGAGCTATTACTCTATTATTTGGCATGCCGTATGTTCAATGTAATTTCCATTAGTTCTCCGGCGAAAGCTATAACAACAAATTAGCTGTGGCTTCAAACCCTGAATTTTATAAAACTTTTACTCTTTTTACTAAAAGTTGGATAGAAAAAGTCCCACTCACCATGATAAGCCCCCAGTCCGTGGAGAAACCAAGACAGATAATAATGAGATGCGCTAGAGCTCCACCCCCGGCCATCAGCCAGCCAAATATTCTCAACATGTCAGCCATTTTTGGTTGTGGTTCGTCTTGAAGCAAGGTTGTTAAATACGTATTGGAATACGAATACGTATTATTTCACGAAAATTTGACGTATTTAACAACCTTGTCTTGAAGAACGGAAGTGTGGGTTAATTCAAATGATTCGTGTGTAAATCAGATCGTATTCAATATTCATGTTATAGTTATACTGAATAGTATTTAACTAAGAATATAATAGCAATTAGTAGGAAAACTATTAAATTCGCGTATGGGACCGTAAAAATATAACGTAATTAGTCTACTTAAAGGAGGGGTGGTTCGAAAAACTAAAATTTAAGACCTACAGCCAAGCATCTTTAAACCGATCGAAACCAATCTGATCATTTATAAAATGAAAATTCAAATTTTGACACAAGTCTTGCATCTCTGTAATAATATATAATATAAGTGTAAACATGATTTAATACTACAAATACAATGGACTGATTTGAAGGGGGGGGGGGGGGGGGGGGGGGGGGGTTGCAGGGAGGTAGGGGGACTGATTTGAGTTAAATTTTCGGATAGCTTGCTGTACTGCTTGAGTTTTTTGGAAAATAACTACGATTAAAACCTAGCAAAAATTAACCGATCAAATGCACTCCTCCAAGAAGCTTATTCAACTTTACGTTGAATAGTATTATAGATCCTCTCAAAATAAATACTGATTTACTAAAACCAAGCCTACACACTAGTAATACAGCAGTTTAGTATAGCAGTGGATTTCCTGAGAGTCCCAACTGCCATTAATAATAAAAGTCGAATGAGATTCCCTAGCAACATCCATCACTTATGTAGTTGGTCCGCTGCAAAGCTGCTTGTTTGTTGTCATGGTGCAATCCCAAAACGAGGGGAATATTTTTGTTTGGTTGCCTTGACTCCCGCCCATTTATCTCTGGGATCATGATTTATGGATCGCTAATTCAATAGAGCGGATACGCATATATGCCCTTATGAGCATCAATAGAAATACCATACCTATTATATACAGAAAATCAGATGAGTTCAGAGACGCATGATATGCCATTAGCATTACCGTTGCGTATATTTATGAGATAAGATATTTTCAAAATTTTGTTTAGTTTACTTTCGCCATGGTAACTTCAAATGAAAGTATGGAATATTATTTTGAAAAGCAGCGTGGGACTGGTTTGATCATTAAATATAAATGATGGACAACTTAATCAGAGTTTAACAGGGTTAACTGATCGCCACCTGCAGGATCTGTTGTACAATGTACAATGTACAATGTACAATGTACAATGTACAATGTACAATGTACAATGTACAATGTACAATGTACAATGTACAATGTACAATGTACAATGTACAATGTACAAGGGTAAAGGATTAAACCGATCCTAACACGTGTTTTGTCGTTTGTTTCTGCACGAGAACGGCTAGTTCCACTTTTTATTATTATTTAAACATAATTACTCAACTAATTTTATCTTTCAGTACCTGTTCCGAGCTAAAGAAGTAATCTCAACTAAAATTAACGACGGATCTATCAGCCCCGATTGAGCGACATCTGTCCGACAGCGACATCTGTCCGACGGCGACAGCCGAATTACTATTAGGGATTTCGGACAGATGTCGCTGTCGGATAGCTAGGAGTCGTTTTTGGCGATATCTGTCCGAATTTCGGACCATAGTAAACTATCACTATGCATGGCTCAGATCATATCTCAAATCGGAAATGTTACGTATACAACTTAGCAAGTAACAGTTCAGATCATGTCTCTAATTGGAAATGTGTCGTATTGAAATCAGTTCACAATTTCGGACAGATGTCGTTTTTTTCTGGTACCCTAAGTCGGACAGATGTCGCTGTCGGAGTGTCGGACAGATTTCGCTGTCGGACAGGAGTCGTGTTACCTGAAATATGTCTTTAACTTGTTTGATTCTGCACTGCACTAAGTTGATGTTTTACGACAAAAATTTAACGGGGAATCGTTTAACTTTGTTTTTAAGATCACTTTTGACTTCGAGGCACCTCGACAAAAAGCTACTCACGCTATTGTGCTTTTCACGGAGAAATACGGGGGGAGGGGGGAGCATATATGATATACTTTTTGACAAGTGATACTGATAGCAACTAACCGATAAGCTTCAACTATAACAATCTACATTGACTTGTCGGAATTAAACTGGAATTAAACTGGAATTAAACTGGAATTAAACTTAAATAGTCAGAGGGAACACTAACGGACCCGTCGTGACAATACATCAATGAAATAAATAAGATAATTATAAGAAAATCATAAATAAGACCCAAAACACGTAAAAAAATTAACTTCACTACAATCTGTACGAAAAAGAAACAAGATCAAATATAATAATTTAACCGGATAAAAGTGGATAATGCACCGATAAGGTAATAAATTATGCAGGAGAGGTTCAAAGAATTCACAAAGTTACTCCAAAAGTCAAAAATACACTATCAAGAAAGATTACACACAAACTCAAAGACGGGCGTAAATTATGCAACTGTAACTCCGAATGAAAACAGTTCGAACACTCATTTAAGGGACACTGGGGTAGTTAGAATGTCCTACTCCTTAAGACGGTGACTCGGAATCATTACCGGATGAGTTAGATCAAGTGGAAGACGATGTTGGTGTCTTTTTCGGATTTCTGATGCGATGACAGCTGCTGAGAAACTTGCCCAGTTCTTCTATGTGGGCTGAATTCATCATGTCTTTGTAGTTCCTGAGAAGTAAAAGCCCTTTGAGGTCATCTGAGAGAGAAGATCGTACTGAGTGGTACATGGGGCACTCAGTAAGGCAGTGTTCCTCGTCTTCAATAATCGTGCCTTCAAAGAAGGGAAGGTATTCGAAGCCGAGAACGTGATCCCTATCGCAGCAGAATCTGCATGCTCTTGGCCATACTCCGGCCTCCTTCGTGTAACGCCCTCGTTCTATCATCAGGTCGTGGCTGCTGGAGCGGATTTTAGCTGTATTCGTTCGGAATTGCCTGCTCTTCAGATTGAGGTACTGCTCTTCTCCAAATTCCTCCTTGATTTGGTTGTAGAACTGCATCTTGGTTTGCGATCCCAGGTCCACCCTCCAGTCACTGATAAAGACATCCCTCATGGTGCCATGAGCTGCTTCTGTTTCATAATGAGCCACAGAGCTAAGTTTCTCGTACCAGGAGAGGTTAAGATTTTTCTGTTCCTGAAACGCTTGAGATACTAAAAAATTTACACTGTTCATCTCAGAAGAAGCTCTGGAAAGTCTTCCAAAGTATCTGAGGCATTGTGGCAGAACTGCGAGGGCCCAGGGCATCCTTCCTGTATCCCCGTAACAGAAGTTGTTGTTAGTTTTCTTGTGCACACCCAGTACCCATTTCAGCATTTTGAGGTGTGTTGTCTCAAGACTGTCTTTTGCTGCAACTTTTGATAGGTTGTGTCTTTGGCTGGGTTCACGCGCCATTTCTTTCATGAGGTGAGTCGAGGGTAGCCATATCTGACAGGCGTAAGTTGCTACCGGTTTCACCAGACAGTCAATTAGCTTTAGCATGGTTTTGGTGGTCAGAGCTCTGGTGTCTACCATGCGTTTTATCGAAAAGAATGCTCGAAGCGCCTTCTTCCTCAGTTCGTTCATGGCGCATTTAAAAGATCCATTGAGGCTGAGCTGGATACCTAGATAGCAGTAGGACCTTGTTGGAGAGATGTCGAGCTGTCCAAGCTTGAACCCGTACGAGCGGTTTAGCACCCGCGAGCTTGAGTTGAAGACCATTATTTTAGTCTTATCAATGTTGATAGATAGCTCCCATTTGCTTGCAAATTCATTTAGGCAGTCAAGCTCTTTCTGAAGGCTTTGGTGGTCGAGAGCTAAAAGGATGAGATCGTCGGCCCAGAGCAGGTGGTTGACCGGGAAGCCATTAAGTTCAGGGACAGAGAGATCTTCTAGGGCTGCTAGATAGATGGAGAGGTCGTAGATGTATATTTTAAACAATTCAGGAGACATTGGATGCCCTTGCTCTGTTCCAATGGTGACATCAATGGTCTCCGATAGTTTTTGGATCAGTTTGATGCGGGTCACCGAGTTGCTGTACATGTTCTTAAGGCAAGCGAAGAAGTTCCCTCCGATACCAAGGTGATTGAGTTTATACATGAGTGCTTCTCTGCACACCGTATCGAACGCTTTCCGGTAGTCAACAAAACAAGCAAACACTCTCTTTTTGAGCTTTTTCGTGTATTTCTCAATGATTGTGGTAATTGTAAGTATGTGATCCGAGCACTGTGCACCAGCTCTGAAGCCAAGTTGGTGGGGGAAATCGGGGCAGATAACTTTGCGGAAGTCGATAAGTCTTTCAAGGAGAAGAGAAGCAAATAGCTTCCCTAGACAGCTTCCAACAGTTATTGCCCTATAGTTGTCAGGGTTCTGTTTGTCGCCCTTCTTGTGGAGAGGGGTGGTTATCGAACAATTCCATGGGTAAGTCCCCTGTTCCAGGCAGCCGTTGAACAACTTGAGAAGAACTTTCCTTAGGCAAAGTTTGGAGTTCTTGAGCATCTCGTTCGATATTAGGTCCAGTGATACGCTCTTGTTGTTTTTGAGTTTGTTGATCACCTTTTCAAGCTCTTGTAGAGTGAACTCCATGTTAAGATTTTCCACTTCAGTTGGTAGGTCAGGGTGGCTGCTCCCATCATTGCTTGCGTTGTGGGCTTGAAGTTCACGGTGGGATGGATCCTTGCACTTTTGGTTGTAGAGGTCGTTGAAGAATTTGTGAAAAGCAAATAGGTCGTACAGATCGAACGTCTCAGGATCTCTACAGGAGGACGAGAGATCTTTCAGAGCAGACCAGTTGATGTCATTGCCATTATTTATTTTCTCGTTCAGTTGAAAGAGATATGCGCCTTTTTTGGATCGAACTTGAGCCCTGTATTCCTTTTTTCGGAGGTAAAACTTAGCCCGAGTAGGTTCCACTAGCATGGGATCAATGTAGGGGTTGTTCTTTACTCTTTCGATCTTGCAAACTTGACGTTTTGCCGGATGTTGTAGG